TTTTGTATGCAAACAAATAAAAAATCTTATGGCTATAGTAGATTCAAGAGAGTTGAAATAAAAAGTTACTAGTTACCGATAAAATATAACTAAATAAAGTTAAAAGATAAGAGTCTAAAAATGTAACTAGATAAAGTTAAAATTATTTAACTTTTTAACTTAACTTTTATCTTTTTAACTAGACACTACCCAACCTTGGTAAACACAGACAATTGATCAGACATAATTTTGGATGCAACAGGATATTTTTTCTATTTTCTGATTTATCTTTGGCCTTTTTTTTTTTTAATGCGTTATCACTTGTTTTATATTACAATTACGTGTACAAAAAGTAAAAAGCATTGCGAACAATTATTATTTAAGATATCGTTATTCCCCTGGAACGCTCTTATGCCACTGAAAGTGCAAAAAGTTTCTTGAAGTTCCGATCGGCATAAAACTAACGCGCGTAACACGGAGCGAAAAGAAAATAGGGTTCGTCGATTGGCGAAAAATTACACGTAAGAGACGTGAGAACGATAAGTGTTGTTTCAGACAAACAGAGGCAAGCAGGGTCGTCTGGTTCGGCACCTGCCACACCTCAAGGGAACAACCTGCCTCCTGCTGTTCCACCTCCCAGCATCTCCAGGAACCCTCTCAGAGGATCTAAATGTAACAGTTTACATTGCGATTACTCTCTACCCCTCTACCACACCCCTTCTGCGTCTGTACTTTGTTGTTAAAACACAACACGCATTTTATTTATAGAGGTTACTGGTACTACTGATTTTTTTTTGAAGCGCAGAGTACGTGGAAAGTAAAATTGTATTTCTCTCTACTCGACTTTCACACTAATACAAGATTAATTAGCGACTTATTGCGCTTCTCTTCGTACGGTTTCTATTTCACATCTTTCTTTCTTTCTCTTCTCTTATCAAAAGATATTCCAAAAAATTACACATACAAAACTTGAAGTAACAAATTAATTAATTGTTACGGTTTTTTAATTGGTTTTAATCTCTCGGTGTATATATTATAGCTCGGATATATGAACGATTTGTTATTTAATCGAAGTTTATTTCAAAAACGTTGAAATTTATGTCTGTAGAAAAATTTTTATCAGCATTTTTCGATAAGATATTCTATCAACATATTCGCAAGAGTTAAATAATTAGCATTCACACCCCATCTCATTCGAGCCTTTCTTTGTGGCCGATATTCGAATCTTATGTTTAAAGTCGTTTTAAGTTTATCTTCATGATGTTTTTTTTGGATCCAATGAGAAACGACTCTTGTGCATCTGAAGATAAACTTAAGACAATCTTAAATACAAGACTCGACTATATTATGGTCTATATCAATTATTGGTGATTTCTTTTTTGTCGGTTGTTCGGTTAGTTTCTCTTTTATGGTGTTCGGTAACACACAAATGACATCATTTCGTATCTTACATCAGAAACGGGGACGCATGTTTGCACTTTAGTTGACGTTGACCTTGGGACTTACGCCCCTACTGTGTCTTCTTCGCTCTTCTCGTTTTTTTAATTCTCGTTTTTTTTTTTTTTTTTAGTGTAAGCATATGCTACTCGAGTTCGGGAAAGAACTTGCTTGATATATCGATAGCTTGACGTGATAATAAACAACGTGAGATGATGAATAAATTTATAGGAGATAAAAAAAAAGAGAGAAGAAAAGACACAGCAGTAGGGCGTAAACGCAAGTTTACTCTTAAAGTGCGGAAATGCGTCTTATGGAACGTTAAGTAAATCGTCTGCTAACTTACAGTGGTTGCGCGTATTATGGTTCCTCCACTCTGCACTATTTTAGAACAGCAGTGTACGTATACTAACCGTATATGTAAAGCGCTTCAAATTAATGTTACATACGCAAACGTGTTATTTCGTTAAACATAAACAAATATATATATATTTTATATATATATATATATAAAATATATTTTATAATAAATAAATATATTAAATATATTAAATAAATGAAAA